TCCAGGGGTCACTCCCCATCACTTTTGGGGGTCCCCCCTTCACTCCAGATGTCCAGGGGTCACTCCCCACCCCTTCGGGGGGTCCCCCCTTCAGATGTCCAGGGGTCGCTCCCCATCATTTCGGGGTTCACTGCCCATCACTTGGGGGGGTCTCAAAATCAACCCAGACGTCCAAGGGTCACTCCCCATCACTTTGGGGGTCCCCCTCCATCACTTTTGGGGGTCCCCTCTTCACTCCAGGTGTCCAAGGGTCGCTCCCCATCACTTTGGGGTTCCCTCCCCATCATTTTGGGGGTCCCCCCTCCACTCCAGATGTCCAGGGGTCGCTCCCCATCATTTGGGGGTTCCCAAAATCAACCCAACTGTCCAAGGGTCACTCCCCACCCCTTCAGATGTCCAGGGGTCCCTCCCCATCACTTTGGGGTTCGCTCCCTGTCACTTGGGGGTTCACTCCCCATCACTTTGGGGGGTTCCCAAAATCAACCCAACCGTCCAGGGGTTCCTCCCCACCCCTTCGGGGGGGTCCCTCCTCCCCCAGGGAAGGCCCCAGCAGTCCAAGGGGGGGGTCGGTCCCATTCCCATCCCCCCCTCCCCTCTCTCTCCGTCAGGGAGGGGCCCGGCTCTGCGCCGCGCGGGGGCCGAGGGAGGGGAGCAGGAGGAGGAGGAGGCTCCTTCCTCTCCCCGTCGCTCCCCCCGCCCCGGCCCCTTCCCGGGCCCCTCCCGGGGGGGGTCAGCGCAGCAGGACCCCCCCCTCGGCGGCCACGGCCTCCAGGACGTTCTGGGCCGTGGTCTTGCCGTGCTGCTCCTTGAGGTGGCGGCGGATGGCGGGTTTGTGGGCGAAGCGCACGTCGCAGTAGGAGCAGCGGTAGGGCCGGGCCCCGCTGTGCAGGTTCAGGTGGTCGTGCAGGGTGGACTTCTGGGTGAAGCTCTTGCCGCAGACGCCGCAGCCGTGGGACTTGACGCCGCGGTGGACGTTCATGTGCCGGTTGAGGTTGCTGCTGTGGTTGAACTGCTTCCCGCAGCGCGGGCACATGAACACGAAGTGCTGCGCCCGCATGTGGAACACCAGCTTCTCCACGCCCTGGAAGGCCTCGCCGCACTTCCCGCACCGCGACGAGCCCGACGGGGTCGGGGTCGGGGTGGTGGTGGTGGCCGCGCCCCCCCAGGCCGCCCCCGGCGCCGGCGAGGCCGCGGCGCCCGCGCTGCCGCCCGCCTCCTCCGCCGAGTTGCCGCCGCCGCCTCCGGGAAAGATGAGCAGCCCCTCGCCCTCGGCGTCCTCGGCCAGGCTGTAGCAGGCCTTCACCACGCCGCCCAGCTGCGGCAGGAACGGGGGGCTCTGCGTGGCCGCCGCGCCCTCGGCGCCCGCCGACGCCTCGCCGGGATCCGGCGCCGCCGACGCCGCCGTCGCCCAGGCCCGCCCCGCCCGACGCCGCCGCGTCGCCACCGGGCCCGTCGCGGCCACCGCCGGCGGCTCCACCTTGACGATGCAGACGTCGGGCGCCGCGTCCTCGTC